AAAATCTTGTTGGAAAGACCACAGACACCTTCTCCTGCCCCGGATGTAGAAAGAAATATTTCATAACAGGAGTGCAAATGTCATCAGCAAAAATTAATAAAGCTCATCAAAACTTCCTGTGCAGTCCAGCAACAAACACCACTTGAGATACGACTGACGTGGAAAAGCACGTTTTTAAATGGAACAGAAACCAAAGTCTTTTGTATCATATAAACAAAGGAATGATTAAGGTGATAAGGTGATGTTATAATCCAGCTGAGCTCTCCCCGTGTAAAGCGCAGATTGCTTTGTTTAATTTGTGGAAACAGATTAAAGGTACACAAGTGGTTTAAAGGAAAACGCTGCGGTGATTTACTGATTGATTTTTATGGCCAGAGAGAAATGGGAAATAGGGGATTGTAAGGAAGGCACAAGCCCAGTGATCTTGGAGGTTGCCTAAGTTCTCAACAAGGTATGAACTTGTGCATCCTGGTATCTTCTGGTGTCACTAAGATGTGGCAATAAAATATTGAACAAACCTAAGAAAAACATGAATATCTACTCTGGAAAAACCCTTGAGATCTTTTTTTTTCCCAGAAAAGGCAACTTTGGAGAAAATGAAATGTTTTAAAAGTCTTGTTTTCATGTTTTCTTACCAGCTATACACGAGCTGACTGAAATTAAAATGTAGATACAGGTTTAGCGAAAAAATCTCCTTGGTGTCGAATACTAAAAATTCTGGCCTGTGGCTCTGAAAGCAAGAATTCTTTGTCAGTACTTGCTTTCACATCCATAAAATGATAGACTTCTGCCTTATTCCTCTTGTAGCCTCTGTACCCATTGTTAATACAGCCTTTGGTGTCTTTTTTTGCCACGTTTCTTAACATGAAAAGACCTAATTGCCTTCAGTGTTCCATTCGTTTTTCAGTAGTGATAACAGCAAGGGGAATTGTGAACGCTTTGCATTTCCAGGAGGGCTTTTTTCCTTTGACATCTTTGTTCTCTCTTTCATTTGGGCCTTTCCATTTGGTTCGGTAGAGGCTTCAGGTCTTCAGCTCAGCACAGAAGGACCCTCCTGGGTGAAGGGCAGCTGTCTGTCTGTCCCTGCAAAGGGCAGAGTCCTGTCTGCCCTAACAAACACCAGCCTTTTCCTTGGGACCCTCAACCAGATGTGGTTTGGCTCTGTCCAGGCAAAGAGTTAACCAATCCTTGCTCTACAGAAGTACTGGGAAGTTGAAAGGTATGACTTAGTTAGTGAAGGTGAAGTAACAGCAAAGTCCAGCCTGTGAGGAGGATGAGAAGGAACACTGTATTTTCCCCTCAAGGTTTTTTTCCTGGTGTTGTACCAGAAAAGGTAAATTACTGATTTTTTTTTTTGTGCCTGCACCTGAGCACTGCGGCATTAGCAAGGACAAGAGAACACCTGGATTGATCAGACACCAGATATGAGAAAGCACAGAGGGAAATAACAGCCGAAACAGTGAAAAAGAAATGAAGCGGTTTTGTTCTTTTTTTTAACTTCTAATGAGGCTGTTGTTAATACACCGGGGCCTCATTAGCAGCTTACAGGCGGCTTTAAAGCTGGCCATCTCAAAGGCAGCAGCTCTGCCTTTGTTCTGGGTGGACACTTTGAGATGTGCTACCGCAGGACCAGGCACCAGCAAGCCCGTGGCACTGGTGACATCTAGAGGACTCCAGCTCTCGGCGTCAGCCACAGCTCCGTGCTGTGGAAGGACGGGCTTCCCAGCCGTGGGCCATCTCCTGCCGCCAGCTGGGCTCATCTCAGGCTGATGGGGCAGAGGAGAACATTAAAAACCAACCCCTGCGCACGTGTAACTGCCCCTGAGGAAACGCTCTGCTTTCCTCCCTCTGCAGCCCTCGCTGTAGCTTCAGCTTTCATTAGCTTATGGTGTGAACTGTGCTGCTGGAAGCGAGGAGCAGAGACCAATATCTGCTACTTCACTGCTGTGACTGACTTATCAGGAGCCTGTGACTGGGGAAGCTCTGACACTGTTCCCAGAGCCAGGGTTGAGTGACGGTGTGTGACACAGAGCAGATGCAGCTGCTGTGCTCTGGGAGCATATCCCCCGTTCCCCTCCCTTCACTGACAGTATTTTGCCCTGGAATAATAATCAGAATTATTACTACAACTGCAGCTATGGTGCATTGATGCCTCTATTTTCTGCAGTCCTAATGAGAGGCAGGAGGCAGGTGTTCAGGCAGCATGAAAAAATATACAGAGACGGTGTAAGTGGGAGCTCAAACTCCTCTGCAGGGCTGCTGCCTCCCAGCTCTTTGAGGCATGTCACTGCAGTGCCTTCCTGAGAGCTTGGGTTTGCTCAGCCTCCTTGGTCCTGGCAGCTGCAGCTCTCCCTTGGCTCTGGAGTGTGTTGGCACAGTTCAGTGGCAGAGGTGCCAGGCTGCTCCAGGGCTTGCCAGCAGTGGGGATACCAGCCTTCCCCACCTTCCCTGTCCTGCACAGCCAGCAATGCTTTCATGTTCAGTGCTTTTTTTACTAAGAAAGTAGATCCCTTGTTTCTCTGACATTTTCTCCTTTAAAGCTGCATGAGAACAGTGAAGTCTAGCAGGCAAAGTCAGCCTGACCCAGTGCTTCAACAGCAAATATTAAACTGCAGCACTCAGAGAAATGATGAAATCTTTACTGGTAGAATTTAACAACCTACTTAACATTGGAGCCAACCAGGAGAGATTTATAAAGCTGTAAAATCAGCTAATTCTGTTTTAGATTATTTCAAAACCTGAACAGCACAAACTGTCTTTAAAATCAAAGGGCAAATGTGACATTTAAAAATGAGGTTATACTTCATATGGCCAAACTTAAACGCTGTTGACCCAATCACATAACAAGTATTTTTGAGGAATAGCAGGGAGAAGGATTTCTGGAACTGTTTCCACTCAGACAGGAAATGGATGGTAGTCTCCATCTCTCTCAAGACTGCCCCTCCAGTCTATGCTATTCTAAAAGTCCTCTTTCCTATGACTTCCTCCCATGCCCACAACACCTCTGTGCTATTTGTTTGCTCTTTCTCTCACTCACAAAGCGCTGCAGGACCCTCAGTGCCCAAATCAGCCAGGCCCCGTGTTTGCAGAGTGTTTCTCAGAAAACCCTTTTGGGCTGCACAGTCAGGCTTGGGACTCGCCACACTTTGGGCATTAGTCACTTAAAACCAGAGGGCTGTAATTGCTCCCTCACTAAGCCTGACAGAGGAGCGTGTAGCACTGTTACCCACTTCAGTTAAGTCTTGTGTTAATTCCGTGAATAAGAGCACTGACATATGATACAGTATTTGCAGGACGGAGCTTCTAAGCAAAGCAGGATGCTGGCTGAACTCCAGGGCATACAGTTGCTCTTTGCTTATTGCACCAAACATACAGTTATATCATCCAAATTGTACATCTGAGTAAGAGTTTGCCAGTTCAAGTGAAACGCTTTGCTCAAGTCTTACTCGTTTTTTCCAAAAGGTTATGTGATCTTTTCAGACACTGATTCAGAAATGAGTGTTCATGGAGTGAACAACACGCTGGCAGAGGAGCACACAGCTTCTCCAGGCTGGCTTCAGCTTCCTCCTGCAGAAAGGCAACCTGAGCTGTTTCAGGATACGAGGACAGCCACAGGATTGGAAGGATGATCGCTGGGAATTGCATGTTTCATTGGGAATACATCACGTTGCCAACTGAGCTTTTGAAGTGGCTCGCCGCTGCCTGCTGGCCAGGACCGTCCATGAGCCCGTCACCCCCGGTGCCAGCAGTGCCACTGCGGGACCGCTCGCCCCGTCCCTCGCCCCGTCCCTCGCCTCTGCCCGCGGGCGCTATCTCAGTGCGGGAAACCACACGGGGCTGCTTTTTCCTACCCCGGCTGATAAGAGCCAACAGATGTCAGTGCAGCCTGAGTAACACGGGGCCGTGCTCTGCTCAGGGCTCTGCTGCTGCAGGAACACCCCTGGGTGGGAGTTCCACCATCAGGCGGCCGCGACAGACCCGGGCGAGGGGGAGAGCGGCGCCGGGAACAGTATCGGTGTGTTCGGGGCGGCTGGAGAGGCTCTCACAGCTAAAAATACCCGCCCGAGTATTTTTAAAAACACATTCGAGGGTCCTTATAAACACACAGACTTTTGTTGACAGAACAAGACTGCTCATTTATGCTGTGTATTATCCTTGAAAACCTGCTCTGTTTGTGCAGGGAGTCCCATGACAACCTCGGCTTGCTGAGGGTGCCACAATGATCTCAACAACAAACGTGTCCCTTTATCTGCTGGAGAGGGGCAGAGGGGAAGCAGGAAGTATCTGCAGGCTGTAGGAAAAGCAGTTAAGAAATGGAAATAAGCTGCTTTATCAAAATATTGCTTTGCTGTTTTCGCAAGTGCAATGCCAGCGGTTTTCTAGCCCAGCTCAGGGCACCTCTTCTGTGGCAGGTTAATGCCAGATATGTGTATAAAGCCCAGTAAAATCAGTGGAATTGGGTAGGCCATCTGGTTAAGTGATTGATGTCTGAATGGAAGGAGTTTGACAACGGGATTTTCTTTTCTTTCCACCTGCAGCCATAAATATGTTTTCAGGTGACATCCCAGAGCAGAGAACCTCACCGTAGAGAGGTTACACATGGTCTGCAGTGGGAAGTAAAGAAAGAAAAAGGAAAGTATTTTGATATTCCTGAAGGAAAACTGGGGCATGATGCTGTAAACAAAAACAGTCAAGGGAAAACCAACCGTAAAGATAGTCAAGGGGAAAGGTGACAAGTTTTATTGTATTTGAGAGGGGAAAGTTTGTACTTTGGAGCTTGGATGGTGACACTGGCTGGTTCTGTGCCCAGTGCAGCCTCCCTGGCAGGGAGATGTTACCACCCCTGACCACAGCTATCACTACCACTCAAAGACACCTACATGGGTGCCTTCTCAGGTTTGGCAAGAGGAATGGACCCAGGAGCAAACAGTCACACTTCAATTTTAATTATTTTATTTAATTATTATTTAATTTTAATTATTTTGTTATTTAATGCCAGTATCCATAATGATACCCTCAGGTACGGATATCCAAGTCCCACTGCCATCTCTGAACAGCAATACTGTGTTTGTTGACCGTGTCTTCAGAACAGTTTCCCATGACTAGAAGCACCAACACCTTGTGTCACTTTATATCTGAAATACAGTTCAAATGGAGCTAATTCTACTTATCGTGCCTTATCTGTGTATCACGGTGTTTACTTTGCAGATGAACCAGCTTTTAGGTGAGGAGATGTGACGAGGCCACTGATGGTGGCTTTGTGGTTTTACGTATCAGGAACTCTTGGGTTTCAGGCTTTCTGAAAGAAAACAAAAAAATTAACAGTTTAGACTGATACTTAAACAAGGATTTAGGAATCCAAGGTTGAAATTAGTCACTATTTTAAATGTAAACTTCCATGTAGGAAACAGAGGAATGATAGAAAAGCAAGTATTGAGTGAAGCAAAGGACCAAAAGCAAAGACCAGATAGAACCTGCTTCAGCTAAAGTTAAAGGAAAATTCTCGTAGTCTGTACAGGGTGTTCAGTCATACAAACACTGAGCAAGTTCCACAAATGTAGATTCCTCTCCTTCTGCCCTAAAAGCCCTGTTTTCTAACTGGGTGGCAAAATTTATTTTCAGGGGTGCTCAGCACCCTGTGTTGCTCCAGCCACACTGTGCACAGCAATCCCAGGGCCTGTTTGAAAACTTCATGCCTTTACCCAGGATGTCTTTAACACAGTGCCAGGCTACAGCCACCGACACTGGAAAAGTTGAGTGCAAAGCAGTGCCCTGGAGAGGCTGCCTGTGGGAGGGCAGTGCCAGCAGCCGGTCTGACATGTACGCGGTGCTCTGCATCGAGAAATGAAGGTTGCACATACAGATCCCTTACAGTAATAGGGGTGGGAGTTTGAGTTCAATCCATTATTTTCTCTCCCAAGGTACAAATAAATGCAAATTTTACTCATTTACATTTCTCTTGCTGTCATATTTCCTGGTGTTGCTCCAAGTTTTTTCGCTTATGTGTCCATGTCCCTTAACACTGCAGTCTCACAGTTGTTGCCTCTCTTCTTTTCTTCTGTGGTATTTTTTGCATTCACAGATGGCCCACTCTGCTTTTTAACCCCTCCACTTTTTATTTCCCCCCGTAGCAGATGGTAGAAATAACAGAATAAAAATGCAGAGAGATCTTCAGCCCAGTGCTCAGGGAAGGACAACTCTCTATTCCTACCCTCCCTGCTGGGAGTCAGGAAGAGGCAGAGCTTCAAGGTAATTTCCTCCTCTACCTTTGAAGCTGTGTGTGATTTCAAGAAGCTGTCAGTCTGTGTCAGCACTCTTTACCCAGGTGAAACATGTGACTTTATCCTTGCTGTCACTTCTTGCCACCAACTAAAACTGGTGTAAGTTAGGAAGTGATGAATTGTGCCTCTGACACTGTAAAGAGTTGGAATTCAAGTAACTACATCTAGGGGCAGGGCTATACCAGGATGTGAAATTTCTGGTTTCCTGAAACAAGTAATTGATAAGATTTTGAGTTTTTCTAGGGTTTTAAAATAATAGGACGAGGGAAAGCCTGTCTTCCACTTTGAAATCCTACTTCATTTTCAGATTTCTGCTTCAGAGACACCTGGGAGAGGATGGACATTGCAGTGAAGGCAGGTTTGGTGTGCTCTGTAGAACTTGTCATCTGCACTGGAAAAGTTTTCAGAGTAACCAAACCAAGACAGACTGACCTTAAACTTCTCTTTGCTGTGAATTGCACAAGCAGGAAAACTCTGCTTGTCTACCCTCAGAGCCAGGAGAACAAATTCATAAGCTGAATGTTACTAACTAATATCCCATTTTAGCTTTTGGGTTGGTTTGGATTTGTTTTCCTCACAGCCCTTGAGAGTTCCCTTTCCTTTTGCAGATGCCCACAACACATAGTGCTTCAAAGAACTGCCCTGTCTATAAGACTCCTCTTGTTTTGGTGTCTCTCTGAAAAGCACAGGAAGAAAAAGAAAACTACTATTAATAATATTCTAGGCTGACCTTTACATTTTCTTGTTATATTACATTCTCAGGGGTGTGTTCATCAGAAGAACGAACTCTCGGTCCCAGAGGAAAAGGCATTACAGCAGTGGAGACAGAATGAGTCATGTGGGCATTTTGAGCCTGATGTGAGATGGATTAATTCCTGCTACAGGCAGCAACCGCTGCTGAACCTTGGGCTAACAGTGATGTGTAAAGTGAACTTGTCTGCCATGTAATGATCTCATTTGTACACTTACTAATTGCTGTAACAGACAGGCAGAGAGTTATTGATTAGGTGCCTCGAGCGGGACATAGGCAGGAGGAGGGACAGGGAAGGAGGAGTGTTGTCTCCCTTTGCTCAGGTGATGTCTTTCTTCAGGAAGAGACACACTGACTTTCCACAGGATAACTTGCAGGAGAGAAGAGGTACGAAACTGGCCATCAGTTACCAGACCTGACTGAAAGTGAGTCAAATAGAAATAAACTTGTTGAAATGACAAACATCCTTTCTGCGTGGGACACACACAGAGCATCTCCTTACAGAACAGACGCGAGTGTTTCCAGGCATGTCCCCACTGTGAAGCACGTGCTCGTGTCTGCCTGAGCCCAAATTCACAGACCACTCAAACACATTTCCTGAACTTTGTTCTGGCACCCTCTCTTGCTGTCACTGATTGTTCCTGGAATCGCTCTGGGAACAGGACACCAGGGAGCCAGTTTGCAGAGAAGCCTGAACTCCCTCCTACAGGGCAGGACACAGGGTGAGCCTCACCAAAACCTCACTGCTGCCTGCCAGGACCCTGCTCTCTGCTGGACCCGGGGCACTGCTCCTCCTCTGCTCCAGTGCAATCAAAGGGTTCATTTAAGGCTGGATCCCAAGACTGGGAGTAACAAAAGGAATACATAAGAGTGCTGGTTAGCTCACCTGGTTAACAGTGACCTCCGTGGGCAGCTCCTACCCTGGCAAAGCTGTTCTGATGCGTCAGCAACAGAAATCCTCAAAGGTGTCATAGAGGATATGACCTGCTCAGCCTTTTGCGTGGTGCTAATAAAGAGGGAAGAGAGGGCCACTGTAGCAGGATCTGTCCTTCTGCTGACACAGACCTGCAGAAGATTTTGAAAGAGAAATTTGTATCAAGAAGACGCCTAACTTGTGAGAAAGCCCCGAGAGGAGAAACAGAGATTTTGGTGAGAACCATATAGGCTATTTGCAGAGGACAGGCTACAGCACAGAGAGCTGGTTGGAAAGCTTCAACTCCAGAGTGCAGGATGTGTGGCCAGGCCCCAGAGAGTATTAGTCATCTCCTAAGTGAATGCTCAGAGCTGGCCGGAGATGAGTACAAAATACAGCATGACAAAGTTGGCAGTGCTGTGTATGGCCCATGCTGCCAGGGAGGGGGGCACAGCACAACCAGCATCATCACCCCAGCCCAGGTACAGTGATAGAACTGAGGAGGTGATTGTGAAGTTTGTTGTTAGTAGGCAGAGGTGGTGCCTCCAGAGCAAGCTCCATCAGTAACTTCTGCACTAGACGATGTCATTGGTAGAAAATAACAAGAAGTCACTGAGAAATACGTGTGTGGCAGGAAATGAATTAAAAATGGGGCATGAAAATGGTTGCAGGTCTTGGTGTCACGACCTTCTTTCCAGTGGGATGAGGTGCTGTGCTGGAGGAGTTCTGGTGCAGTGTCCAAACTGGACATTACCTCCCCATGGACCAGGACTGTCTCTGCCGCCGCAGCATCCTCACGACGCGCCAGAGGCCGGGATATCGCCTCATGTCCCGACCTTGACCCGTGGCTGGGGCAAAAGCCTTACCCAGGCGGGGGTGAAACGTCAAATCAGCGCTGGCTCCGTCCGTTTGGGATGTTGGGAATGGGAAGCGCTGACCCCCGGCTCTCCCGGCACTCGCAGCCCGTGGTGGGCTGCCCGGCACCTCCCGCGGGGCAGACGCGGGGAGGGCAGTCCCCGGGCACTGCGGGACGCGACCCCCGCACCCCGGAGAGGGCAGAAGTGACACGAAGGGACACGGCGGGGGGGTGGCCGGAGGGACGCGGCGGGGGGGGTGAGGGGGGAGAGCGGCGGCCCCCCCACCCCTCACGGGTGCGGCGGGGGCCGCTTTCCAGAGAATACGGTAAAACATGTCCGCATCACGTGCGGCCGCTCCCGCGGGCCCGGCGCGGCACCGGCCGGGGGGCGGGACGGGAGGGACGGGACGGGACCCGCGCCCCGCGCCCGCCGAGCGGGGCCGCTTTAAGAGGCCGCCGGGAGCCGCCGCCTCGCCTCGCCCTGCCCGCCCCGGCCGGCGGAGAGCGATGCCCGCGGCGCCGTAGGGCGGGCGGCTCCGGCACCATGGGGCTGTGCTACAGCCTGCGCTCCCGCCTGGCCGCCGCGCACCCCTCCGCGCCCTACGGCGGCCGCGGCGAGCCGGACACCCCCGGCGCGGCGGCGGAGCACGGGGACCCGCAGGTGCGGCACCGGCTGCGGCAGGACCTGGTGGCCAAGGAGCGGGCGGACAAGAAGCGGAGCAAGAGCATCGACAAGACGCTGAAGGCGGAGAAGCGGGAGTACAAACAGACGCACCGGCTGCTGCTGCTGGGTGAGCGGGGCGGCACAGCCCGGCCCGGCAGGTGCGGGGGCCGAGGCCGCCGCCGGTGCCCGCGGGCGGAGGGGCTGCGGGGCGGGGCGGGGCGCGCACGTGGCGGCACCGCCGGGCGGGGGTCCGGGGAATGCTGTGCCCGGCGATGCTGTGCCCGGGGGTCCGGGGGATGCTGTGCCCGGGGGATGCGGTGCCCGGGGGTCCGGGGGATACTGTGCCCGGGGGATGCTGTGCCCGGGGGTCCGGGCGATGCTGTGCCCGGGGGTGCCGTCCCCGCGCGGGGGTCGCCGTGCCTGGGGGTGCCGTGCTCGGCCGGGGGGTCGCCGTGCCCGCGGGTGCCGCTGTGGTAGGAGCCGGTGGCCGCACTGAGGAAAGGGGCAGCCTTGCGCACCCCCGTGAAGGTGATGCTCAGTACCGTGTCCGCGTGTCCTCACGCTGTCCCCGCGCCGGGACTGCAGGAGGGGTTACTGAGCTCCTCTGTAAGGAGAAAGCCTGAGTTTTCCTCTGTGCCTTAGTGTTCTGCCTTTGCCCACTTCGCCTCTCGGAGATGCAGCCTCCCAGGCGGTGCCGGTGCCACCCATCGCTGCGCGATGCACCAGCCCCTGCTCCCTGCATGGCCCCTCGCCCCTGCCTCTGGTCTGGGCAGGGCTCCCGGGCAGGGGATGCTCCTGCACGGTGGCAGCACCGGCACTGCCTTCCCGAAGGATGCCCTGTGGAAAGGCGCCCTTTTTATCCACTTATGTGAGCTTGTATGGTACATGACCCCAACCAAAACGGTCATAGAAAGTCATGTGTTGGCCTTCAGGTAAGTCAATGAGGGTTGGAGATTTTTCTAATCTCTCTTCCCCCAGCACAGTGCAGGTGGAATACAGATTATTCTGAACATCTTGGAATAATAGAGAATATTTTCAAATGTCCACAAATAACTTAAGTGCCTCTTGCTCCCAAAGTGTGTGTGGTTCCATGGGCGATAAACAGCAAGATTTGGCCCTCATCTTTTTGGTGTGTGTTTGTAGCCTGTAATAGAAGAGCTGACCTTTAGGGAGCTTTAGAAAACAATATTTGACCTCGTTTTCTGTGTCTTAGTGGTAAAAGCTTTTATTCCAGAAGTACAGCATCTTTTTGTGTGGTTGCAGCTCTGCTGATGTGACTCTGTTCATGAAGTTGTACCTCCTTCCCACGAGAAAGGGGTTGAGCAACACTCGTGGAAAGAGTAAAGCTTGTGTGCTCTGGCTGTGTTGGTGAGGAATCACTCCTCTAACCAACCTGGCATTCCCAAGCACAGGCTACTTGTAGGTATGCTATGGTTTGGTGTTTTGCTTTAACATATTTCAAGTTTGTTCTGTAGGGAACAAGTGTGTGAAGAAGGACCCGTGAGAAATGTTTTTTCTTTGTAGATTAAATAACTAAGGAAAAACTCCCAACAGTAGGGCTAATTTTGATGTTAATCTGCAAGCCTTTAAGTCATAAAGGCTATCTGATAGTCTTCTGTATTCTCAGCAGGCAGTATTTCACTTGTCTGGTTTTTCATATTGCTTCTAACATGTTGTGCCACAGAACTGGTTTTTGCAGCAACGACATTGAACACTGAGTGGGTTAAACAACATATCTTAGTGGTTTAGAGTTGTCTATGGTGAAGCCAACAGAGAGAGCATTCTTTGTCAAAGTACTGATTTATAAATCTGATGGATATGAGTCAGTGTTATGCTGGCAGTCGTTTATTATATTTCAGCCTGGACTTGAATAGCAGGAAGTCACTTTTTGGCCCTCTTGTAAATCTTGGGATGCCTAAGAGACCCATTTCCCTGCTCCTTGCACAGGGACTGTCAGTTTAGCTTCCTTCCCCTGCTGCTTCTCCTCTGCATCCCACTCTCACTGCTGCTTTGTGAATTTTTGGTTTCTAAGCTGGAATATGAAGTTTGGGGCATATTTGGTTATACTTCATGTACATCAGCAGGTATTGCTGCCAGAGCTGAGTGTGACTTTGCCTAGATGCTTAGAGATTGCACACACAAATAGAGCAGGACAGTAATGCTGAGTGAGGGGGGCAGGAGCATCCAGCTGGGATTTAAAGCTACAACTGAGTCTTTTAAGGAATGGACTTGGGGTGGGGGAAAAAAGACTGAAGAAGTGCAGAGCCAGGGATGTCTCCTTGCTTGGGGTGAAGGCTCAATGACAAAAGCTGCAGTAGGTACTCATGGTTTCTTACTTGTGCTCCTAACTTTTTAGGCTGATGAGCTCCTGCAGGAGCATCACTGATGTGGACAGAGGAGGACACCAGGGGTGCCCGCTCTTTGAGAGTAACAGAATTTAAATGCAAACTGCACTGATGATTCAGGTCTGGTCTGTCCCCAAGGCTAAGTTATTTGTAACATATGGATGCAGTAGCTCATGTATTTCTGAGGGCTGTGCTGGAAATGTGAAGTGTTTCTTCCTATCGTGTGCTCGGCACAAAGTCCCTGTGCTTGTGTGTGGTTTCATGTTGTAGTGTGTGTGTAACATCCTAGTCTCAAGTTACTCAAGAGAGTATTACTTGGGTTAGTGCTCTTCAGCACAACTGATACTTATGTTCCCACTTTGTAGTTCCTTTTTTTGGAAGGAGAAGTTCATCATTTTATCGGAGTGCCCAGGGGTGTGCAGTGTAGTTATTCAGTGAATAATTTTATGCCCTGTTAAATGATCTTTAGGTCTCTTTAATAATTTTTCAGTCTTTGTTTCATCACTACAGTTGTATAAGGTAAATTCCCAAGTCCTGGAACTTGTTTTAATTTCAGTAAAGCAAAGATTTTACATCTGCTCTATTATCAGCAATAATCTGACTTTGTACTTGCAGCATAGTACCTTTTACTTTTATAGTTTCTGTGAAATGCTCAACAAGGTGTCATCTCAATGGATTTTGTTTAGTGAACTGTGCAAGTCACAACTTCAAGACTACAATCGTTATGTTGGCAGTATAGTGAGTTCAGGGTTACTACTGGGAATTGGAGGGTGATTTTTTCAGTGCATTGGGGTTGTTTTTTTGTTTGAGAACAATCCTGGCTCTAAAAGTGAAAGTATGTGCTTACAGGGGAAAGGATTCTAAGCTTTGTCATAAAACAATTCCATTCTTTGTGTGCTTTCTCACTGGTGACAGTAATGTGGGTCTTCCTCTTTTTTTTTTTTTTTTTAAGGCTTTAAAATATAAATCTGGTTTTCTGTAAGAGAGTAAACTTGGGCTGGTCCCTTCTCAGTGCTTTGCCAATCTTTGTGCGCTTATTTCTTTTTCATTCTCTCAGGCTGAACTCTTGCCCCTGTAAAAAGTTCTTGTAGTTTATCCCCATATTGAAAAGGAAATGCTGATATCAATTTACCAATATAGATATATGCACTTGTCATCTTAGGCATATGTCTTAAACTACAATATATTAAATAATGGCCATTTTGGATCTTACCTATATCAGTGCTTAAGTAAAAATGTTTTTAACAGAAATATTTACACTGGTACAAATATGAATATAGGGCATGCAAATGTGAAGTTTTTATGGTGGAATATGTTATATAGAAGAAAAACATACTTTAGAAAGCTGGGAAATATCAGTGTGAAGACACAGCCACCCTCTCTGTGTGTGCTGCATGGTAAGCCCCTCCGAACCATATAATTAAAGACTGTCTTGTATGGTTTACATTGTATTTTTTTCCACTGGTACTGGTACTTCATTCAGGGCACAAGATGGATGTTGTGCAGTGAATGAGCAGCTATTCAATATTCTTATCCTCCTCATACAATGTGTCACCCTGTGCCCTATTTACGACACACCATCCGTACCCTGTGCTGAATAAAGAACTGTTGAACTCTTCATGGGCTTTGCTCTAGTGCTGATCACTGCAGGGACTGAATGCTTCATAAATGTCAGTGCATGGCACTGCTGCGAAATGAGGTGGGATCCTTCTTTTGTGGATGCCAGACTGGGAAATGCCACCAAAGACTAAAGCTGAAATTGTCCGAAGCCACCACAGATTTTAAATGCCCAGTCTTTGCCAAAGGCTAATTTTAATCCATAGTAGTCAACTTTTTTTTTTTTTTTTAGTAACACTCTGTGTGTTTAGAGCATGGACCTCATTGTTGTGAACACTCAGCATTTTTGCAATGTGAGCTTTAGATGCTCTGAAAGCAACCCAGGAGTGAGAAGCACAGCTGGGCGCCCGTGATGGAAGCCGTGTGCTGCTCCTCTGGCTATGGCACCTCTGTGGCAAACTGAAGCTGGTCTGGTTCTCCAGGGCAGCATTTAGTGGCAAATCCCACAAAATATTCCTTCTCTTGTTGTGATTCCCTGTTTTGCTGGCTCTGCTTCTCTCAGGAATTGGATGTGTGAGGAGGGGGAGACACCCAGTTATAAGGACAGACATGTGTTGAAGCACTTGACAAAATTCCATCTTGTTGACAATAGTTTCATTCACTTACAATCAATTTGTTTCTTGTGCCCCATGTATTGTGAGCAGGAAGAGAGGGCATACACCCTACAAAAAAGCATGTGGTCCTTATCAGAAGATCATGTAAAAGATATACAGGACAGAATGGGCTAAGAATGTAAAGGGAACCTTTATCCTGGTGCTTCCTGATTTTTGAGAACATGATTTTTGATACTGAATGTCTTATACCAAGCTATATTTAATCTCCCTTTTAAGAAAAGCAGGAATAAGACAAAAAAGTCCTGATTTCAATCCTAGGGGATGCTTGTGGTGTGTGTATCTTGTAACAGGGCTGCTCTGCTGAGCAACCTGCACACTGTGATAGCAGCTTGTGGGGCACAGTGTGCAGTTCTCCAAATGGACTGTCATTAGTGGTGAAGGAATTACAATATTTTCCAATAGGGTTCCCAGTAATTACCAGATACTACATGAACACTTGGACATGGGAATCTCCGTGGTTTCCATCTGCCCAGTACTTTCCAGTGCAGACATGACAATCCTGCTGTGGACACCAGGGAGGTGGAATGCTAATTATGGGTCTTCCTTTGCAA